ACGAAATATCACGAAAAGCTCTCAAACACAGGTCGCCAGTCGTCACACAGCACAGATGCCGGAAACACGTGCAACGTTACGAGTACGCATCTCACATTCAAGACTCGATTTTAAAACAAAGATAATGCGTATCACATAAAAACGAAATTCAATATAATTTTTATAAAAAAAAGAATTTTTACATTAGAGTACAAAACTTTGCATTTCCTAATTTCAATTATTCAATACCTCGACATTTTCGTCTTCCGGTCTTATCTTGCTGTGGAGGGCGCCAATCACTTCTAAATACGCTTTGCCTTCGCTCGGCTTGATAAGTACTGCGTTCGTGCGGGCTTTGACTTTCTTCTTTTCTTTCTGGTCCCGACCGGCTCTGCCGTTATTGGTCGGGTTCTTTTTTTTCCCCCGAACCTCCGTCCAGTTGTCTTCCTCCTGGGGTTCGCCAATGCTAACAGTGACGCCGTTGGCATCCTCTTGCTCGCTCGCGATGCTTTCTTCGCCTCCCTGGTCGTGTGTAATGGTCATCGGTACGACTTCGTGCCGTCTGCTCTCTCGTATGATGTCAACACTCTCCTCGAGACGGCTGATGCTTTCCTTTATCTTCGTGCTTACATTCTTCTGCCTATGAGTGGCGCGTCGCATGTTCTCCAGTAATTCTAACATTATATCTAGTTGCCTATCTACGATTTCTCCTAGAGACGGAGTCGCGGTCTCTCCGGCCTATTCGAAATGGGCGCCCCCAGCGTGCGTCCAGCCGCCATGTTAGATGGTGCTGCCGGGATGCGTTAGCGGTGATTCGCTGTGCTTTCCCTACACACTAACCCCACGTCCTCCTGTCGACATCGAGTGCATATTCGCCTAATTCCTACATTGAGCTCAAGGCCCGCGTGTTGCTAACACTTACCCGCGTTTTCCGAACCTATCCTTCTCTATCAGTGCTATACTGACGTGTAGAAACTTCCGCGGGACGTCCGAAAGTGCTCCTTAATACAGACTCGATGCACAACGCGAGTTACCCGTATGGTCACGCCCGTATTATTATTATTATTATTATTATTATTTATTCACAGTTCACTGGTACATAGATTGTAGTCATACAGATACAATACATCAAAGCATGACAACAATAAATATCAACAGTATGTAATTCTAGAAGTTAGACTAATACAAAATTTAACATTTATAATATTCATAAATACTAATGTAATTAAAGTAGCAACTTAACACTCTCATCACTTCCCAAGAATTTTCGGACCAATGTGCATGTACAAACTATGACACATTTCTGGATATTGATTATGGCATTTTTTATTTATTT